TGGGATGGCCATATAAATTGATTAAATAAATTTTGCAGAATTTCCAATGAACCAGCCTCAAGCCCATTTCTAGACTGCCACCAATCCGTCTCCTGATCACTCTATCATGAAACTATACTCAAGAATCTTCCAGGTAAATGAAAGGAAAATGAAATGATCAAAGTCCTTGAAATAATAATATTTGTGCTAACCAGTAGGAAACATTAAGAAACTGCCACTATGTGTCACCTACAAATGCCACCTCAAGTAAACATATCGGGGTGGGGTGGGATTTTTCCTAAAATACAGCCAAAGTTTGTTTTGTTTTAATGCATTTGCATCAACCTCTGTTGTGGATATTTAACAGCTGACCCCAACCCTATTAGGGTGCTAAACATTAACGGTTAACAACCTGGGCAGAAAGTGCTTTCAATTCTGCAACTTCTGTGACAGAAATTTTAAAAAAGCAAATTGACTTGAAAAAAATCTAAATGCAGGGCATTAGGAAACAGCGGAGGAGGAAAGAAGGCATCAAATCACAGCAAGGTGGAGGGTCAATCCAAAAGCAACAGGAGATCAATGGAGAGAAGGGTGGTTGAGGGTCCGGGATGGAGAAGGCTGGGTAATGTTGGCTACAGGGAACACCAGACAGGAGTACAAAGGCCGTGGGAATACAAGAAGCATGGAAGCCTTTCCACACATTTATTAATGGACAGGAAATGGGAGCAGGGAAGAAAAGGAGATTAGGATCAAGATCCACTCTTTTGTCAGAGAGGCCACGAAAAACTGATTGATATACCTCAATATCTCACCAGCTAACTGCCCTCATGTTTCTAAGCCAGGATGTGGTCTCGTGTGGGAGATGACCAGGCTGAGCCCGAGGGAGGAGTCAAATGCGTCATCAGTCTCTAGTCCCTTCAGGCCCAAAACAGATATAAAGCCAGCCCATTTGAATTCGATTGACTCCTATCTACCGCCTACTTGCTTTGACTGTTAATAGCTCAGATTCTTGTAGAGAGCTTTAGCGTGCAATAAAACCTATATATTCAATTGAACTGTCTGGACTCCTGATTTCCTGAGCCAGATATTCAGACTAGGTTGCCTGAATCTAGTCATTATAGACGGTTGAAGGTGGCTTGGCACCCCATGCAAGTCCAGACAACTATGGTTTACTCAATAAACTCTGCTCAAAATACCCCAAGGCCAAGCATCACATGACGCCAACCACTAATTGAAACTTGGATCAACCACCCTGCATATTTTTTATCAATAAAATCAACGGAAGGTGTAAGTACAGACAATTTCTATGGTGTTGCTTCTTCTAATAGGTTTTTAAAAAAGCAAGGACAATAAATATGCCCTTTCTCCTTTCCGCTCTAATGAAGTAGAGGAACAAGGTGGATAACCTACAAATCTGGAAAGCCTTTGAATTTTAAGTCTTTTTCCCCCAGTTGAATCTTGGAGCTCTGAAAATAACCTCCTCTTGGGGAGGAAAGCCAGAAGGGGGGAAGGTTTGGCTTCCAGCTTCCACGCCCCACCCTAGCCCCACTTCCCACCTTGGAATTCTGTGTTGTCGAGGCCTCTGATGGCCTCGACAGCATCCTCAGCTCTTTCCATGTGCACAAAGGCATAATCTTTCACGATATCACACTCAAGCACGGGGCCGTATTCCTCAAACTTGGACCGCAGCTCCAGGTTCGTGCAGCTGGTGCTGATGTTGCCCACGTGCAGCTTGGTGGAAGCCTTGCTCTTGTTTTTGCTGGCTTCGACGTTGATGCAGACGCCGTGCAGCTTGTAGTGGTGCAGGTTGCGGATGGCGTCCTCGGCGGCCGTCTTGTCTTCAATGTGCACAAACCCATAATTCTTGACGATGTCACACTCCAGGACTCGGCCGTACTGCTCGAAAAGGGAGCGGATTTCCTGCTCGGTGGCTTCCCGGGGAAGGTTGCCGATGAAAAGTTTCACCATGGTGGCTGGAGCTGAGCAGGGGAGCAAAGAAGGAAGGGTTAGTTGGCTCTAAACCACCAAAATCAAACAGGAATGGACAATTCAGCAGCAGGGGGAAAAACGGCCCGGAGATTCTATTGATCGGAGACAATTAAGTTTTGCTTGGTGAATCTCTTTAGCCTCTTCAAGCACTGATTTTCAGTGATCCTAACTCTGTGGAAGAAGCTGCCACCACTGTTAAAAAAAACCATCTGATTTAGCACAGTATGCAATCAGAATCCTAAATTTTCCACAAATCTCTTATGAGCATGCAGGAGATACCAGGAAAATACATGTAAAATACACAGGTTATTCTCTAAGTGGAGAGTGTGCGTGTATGTATATATGTGTGTATAGTATTTATAAGTGTGTGTGTAATAATACCAGCACAAATTTATACGAGCAGAGGCCAGGATGTGTGCGGTGTGTGCGTGCTTATATGTATGTATCTATATATCCATATCTAATCTATATATAAGTGGACAGAGAGAGATAGCATGTATGTATATGTATAATATATCAGCAGAACCTTGACCCAGCAGAGGCCATATTTGTAGTGTGTGTTTATGTGTACATATATGTATCTATATATCTAATCTATATAGACAAAGAGAGATAGTATGTATGTATATGTAATATGCCAGAACAACTTTGTATGAGCAGAAGCCATGGTGTTTGGGTGTTTGTATGCGTGTGTGTATAAGTATTTATCTCTATATTTCTACATCCATCCATCCATCCATCGGTATCTATTTACCAGTATCTACCTATCTACTAGCCGTGATGTGTGGGTAATGTGTGGGGTATGCATGTGAGTGTATGTGTGTATATATATATGTATCTATATTGCTATATCTATCTATGGAGAGAGACACAGTATGTATGTGTGTAATATACCAGAACTTTGTTTGAGCAGAGGCCATGGTGTTTGTGTGGGTGTGTGTACGTCTGTATAAGTATTTTTCTCTATATTTCTATATCAATCTTTCTACGTGTATGTACATATATACATAGATATACTATATATACACATACACACACACACACATTTAGCGAGTATGCATCTGTGTGTTTGTGTGTAATACACCAGCTGAATTTTGTATGAGCAAAAGCCGTGATGTGTGGTGTGTGTACCTATGAATAAAGATAGATTAGATAGATAGATAATAGATAGATAGATAGATAGATAGATAGATAGATAGATAGATAGATAGATGATAGATAGATAGATAGATAGATAGAATGCATATTTGTGTGTTTGTGTAATATACCAGCCGAACTCTGTACGAGCAGAGGCCATGGTTGTGTATCCGTGTGTGGAGTGTATGGCTGTGGGCGTGTTTCTATTCTATGTGCGCCCTCAGTCTTAGTTTCAGAAAATATTGGTCTTAAATCGAGGCAGAAGGCCAAAGCCTCCGCGAGCTGAGTCCCTCCACCACGCACTTTCCCCCGCCGCCCGCTTTTTCCACCCGCCCAGCCCGGCCTCTCACAAACCTCGGCGGCACCCCTCAGCACAAAATGGCAGCGGCGGCGGCAACCAAACTTCACCTCCTCCTCCTCCTCCTCCAAGGTCTTGGCCCGCCTCCTGCTCCTTTTCCGTTGGGTTCTGATTGGTTCCGTCGAGTGACGCCGGGGAGTACAAATGGCCAAAGCGGAAAGTGTCTAGAAGACGGGTACCCAATCAGCTCAACGTCTTTAGCAAAGTCCCAAGGCGATTGGCTATTTTTGGTCCTCATGGTTTTAAAGCAGTGGCCTCTTTCTTAAAGGTGAATGTGCCTTAGACCAGGTGTCTCCCAACCTGAGGAATTCTGGGAGTTGAAGTCCACAGGTCTTAAAGTTGCCAAGGTTGGAGACCCCTGGCTCAGACATCCATATTGGTTGGGCAAAGTCTCATAGCCTTGTTTTATTTCTGTACCCACATTGCCCCGTCTCCCTTTTGGGGTGTAATGGGTTTGCCCTTCCACTGAATTGAGTCAGTTCAAGACAGTTGCATTGGCAAGTTAACTGAATAGAATAGAATAGAATAGAATAGAATAGAATAGAATAGAATAGAATAGATGTTGGAAGGAATAGAATAGAAAAGAATAGAATAGGAATAGAAATAGAATAGAATTCTTTATTGGCCAAGTGTGATTGGACACACAAGGAATTTGTCTTGGTGCAAATGCTCTCAGTGTACATAAAAGAAGAGATATATCCATGAAAAATCATAAGGTACAACACTTAATAATAGTCATAGGGTACAATAAGCAATCAAATCATACTGGGGAAGTCAATAATAATCGTAAGGATACAAACAAAAAGGTCGTACAGTCATAAGTGGGAGGGGATGGGTGAAAGGAAGGATGGGAGGATTAATAGAAATAGTAGTGCAGACTTTCTAAATAGTTGGACGGTGTTGAGGGAATTAGTTGTTTAGCAGTGATGGTGTTTGGGGAAAATACTGTTTTTGTGTCTAGTTGTTCTGGTGCGTAGTGCTTTATAGCATCATTTTGAGGGTAGGAGTTGAAACAGTTTATGTCCGGGATGTGAGGGGTCTGTATTTTCACAGCTTTTTTTTTTTTTTTGACTCATGGAGTATACAGGTCCTCGATGGCAGATTAGTGGTAAACTTGGTTACCTGGTTGGTTGGCTAAACCCAGTTCACTTGGTTAAGTGCTCATTATTTATTTAATAGCCCACCTTCATTAATTTTATAAGTACCTCAAGACAGCAAACATGCCTAATACCTTGGCAAGTTTAAGACGAATGGACTATCTGTCTGGGAAATCCTGGGACTTGAAATCAATGAGTCTTAAAGTTGCCAAAATTGAGATAAACTCCTCTAACACTTTAATATGACTGAAGCTAAGCTGATTTTTCCTTTCAAAAGTAGACATTTTGGAGAAATCTTCACATGTGCAGAAACTGAGGGATAAAAACCAAGCAGCAAGAGCTCAAATCTAGTTTGTGAAGTTTGAATTATGAAACATTTTACATAATCTAAAAAAAAAACCTCAAAAAAGCCTAATTCTAAATGAAAATGAATCCTAACCCAGGAAAATAAACTTTTAAGCTTCTGGCTCTTGAAAAGGATCACATTCTTCCCAGCAGCCCATTTTACTCGGCTGCAAAATTGCAAAGCATGTTGACAATAGGCGAGCTCGTCCTTTCAAACCTGAATTGCACAACGCAGACACTTTCAAGGATCTGTTAAAAATGTTTTATTTTATTGGAGAAGGGGGAAAAAAGGAGAGAAATGTCAATTTCAAAAGAACAAAAAGTCACAGGTTAATAATATCCATAGCAAAAGGAAAGCTTTCTACAGTCCAAACGCAGGCAACTATCAAATATGACAATGTCTTCTCATAATAGAAAAAAAGAAGGAACTGGAATTATTTTATTCCAAAATTGAGCCTACACAGGGGAGGAGAAATTGCAAAATCGAACTGGAACGAATTGGCTCAAAGTTAGCCTTGGAAGGCCACGTATTTGTCTCTTGTTTATTCTGGGGGTCCCTCTGTCTATGCTCGAAGTTAGACTGAGCTCGACCAAAGCCAAGGGCACAAGGCCAGTTATCAACAACCTTCTCTCCCCAATCCCTACAGCCGTCCCCTCCCCTCTTACCAATAATGCCTGGGGGGAGGGGGGGGAGAGGAGGAACGTGTTGTTTCCTTTAAAACAGAACGGGGACCGGACTGTTAGTTGTCACTAAGCATTGCAGAGACACAGAATGTCCATTAGCGAGACCATGCTAAACACAAAATCGACACTTCCTGAAGCCTGGCATAGCTTTGACGTGAACGCGCCGCAGGAACCCGATGTCCAGCCCTCAAATAGCCTACCTGAAAAATAAAAGACACAGTTCATTTGCAGGCTCAGTGCTGGGGGCTGCCTAGAAAAGGAAAGGAAAATGGCACTTTCCGTGGCTGAGCCCACCCACATTCCTTAGATCAAGGGTCTTCCAACCTCGGCAACTCTTCAGACTTGGGGACTCCAACTCCCAGAATTCCCCAGCCAGTGGCCAAAGCTTGGAGATCTATGCCTTATAGCTTTAACTCAGGTGGGAAATTAAGCGGGAAGTGTATTTGATTGGAGGCAGGAGGGGAAAGATTGTCAGAATATTAACCGCTTTTTTTGCACCTGTTCTGGAAGGATCTCTTCCTCCCTGGGACTATGGACCATCTTCAGGAGGAAGGCAGGGCAGGAAGGTGTTATTTTCAA